GAAGCTTACAGACCAGAAACGAAATTAGTGCAGGGGAGCAATTCCTAAGGTATTTCCGGAGAAAAGTAGAAAAAGGTTGGGGAAGAGATGATAGCCGACTGATATCAGACGACCCATGCACCAAAGTGGGCGGGGTTTGCCACAAAGATACGTAGCTCGATTTCGTCCCCTACAAGACCTCATAATTCTGCTCCGAGACGACTTAGAGACCTGAAAAAAATGTGTATAGTAGTGAGAGGAGGAGTAGAGGTTGAATGTGAACGCTGGGCGGCACACCCCGAAGTGGGCGGAGTTTGCCACCACTCTCATAACTCGCTTCCTAGAAGCCCCAGCGCCGGGAAAAAAGTGCAAGGTGGGGTTGCCGGGAAAGGGGTTAAATGCTATTGGTGGGCTAAGTGTGCACCAAAGTGGGCGGGGTTTGCCCAGAAATTCATGACTCATAACGTCTTCTACAAGACCTCATAATTCGGCCCCGAGATGACTTAGAAACCTGAAAAAATATGTGTAGAGGTGAGAGGAGAAGTAGAGGTGAATGTGAACGCTGGGCGTAATCCCGCATTGGCGCTTTGTATCTTCTGTTCCAAAGACGGCTAGACGACCGGGAGAAATGTGGATAAGGGTTGCCGGAGGGAAAGGGGTTAATGCTAATGGTGGGCTAAGCTTGCACAAAAGTGGGCGGAGTTATGCACGAAACATTATTACTCGGTTCCAAGAAGTCTTGGACACCAGGAAAAAAGTATAGAGGTCAGCGAAGGAAATGAAGTCTCAGTGGGCAGGACATGCGCAAAAGTGGGCGGGGTTACCCATGAATTTCGAAAGAGGAGTGTCTCCAAAGCAGCCGTACCTTGGAATCTCACTCAGCAGCTCTGCAGTAATAGAGAGAGAACATTGGTCACAGACACAATTTTTCAGCCTTACCACCTTCCGAAAAAAACCCTGTCTCGAAAGAAAGACCCTCTCCGAAACCGTCGTCCCTTGGAATCTTACTCAGCAGTTCTGCAGTAAATGAGAGGCAACATTGCCCACAGACAGAATTTCTCAACTAGAAAACCTTCTCAAAAATTGAAAAATATACCATGCCCCGAAAAAAGACCCTCTCCAAAACCGCCGTCGCTTGGAATTGTTGTTTTCGTTCGCACCTAGAGATTGGGTACTGTCTTTTGATCTCCCTGCGTGGCTGCACGCGAATGCGTGCTGCAGGCCCACTGGTAGAATATACTGGTAGAATTGCTGAAGAAGACCTGAGACGCTCTCTCATTTCCGCCTGCCATGGTCCCAGGAAACGGTCCTGGACCAGAACAATGGTCACTCTCTTGCGCTAGGCCTAACGTGTAAGAGCTCCAGGATGCTCCGGTGGCAGAAAAGTGGATGATGTAGGGTGGATGTGTGGAACATTAGAAGATCGCATCCGTCTTATAAAGCTTACTCTTGAATGAGCCCCCGCCTTCACTCTAATTCTCAATTATTTCATATGGTCGGACCTTCAAAGGAGTGCTCTCTAGTAGTACATAAGGTAAAGGAATGCTCCGAACTGTAAATTCTACCCTCTCCCTACAACTGTCGATTAGAGTTAAACTGCGTTGGTTGTCAAAATTGATCGCCGAACATCATTTTAAAAATTATTTCGATAGCCAACCCATAATTTATTTGACAGCACATTCCTTTCAACGCACTAACTTCATAAAGGCAGTTCTGACTAACGTGATGCGAAGGTCTTTGTTATTCTATTGAAGTGAATGACGAGGTTTGAGGTCCTTACAAGAAATATGCTACTAAAACAATGCAGTTATTGCCTTGATACTCATAAGTGAAATTGTGACTATTGGCTAACTACAGTCGCGGAGAAAGGTGTTAAAGGCCAAATACATAACAGGTATGGTTGAACGATGTTGAGAGCAAAATATCGAGGTTCTCGGTGCAGAGTAGAGTGAATCGCCTGTGGTGCAGACAACGAAGAAGTGATCGCCTTCTGGATATAGTGCGTTCACCAAATTCACCTTAGATGTCTTGGGATCGGCTGCCATGTTCTGAAAATAAGGCGTTGAGTATCCACACAGTGCGGAAATCATAATATGTCAAGTGGGAGGTCAATCAGCGCGTTACCTATGGGTTGAACGCTTGGAAGTTAGCTTGTACTGCTTATTCTCATACACACATTAAGAAGCTGCTGTTCCGGACCCAATGAAATCTTCACAGAACAGATTCCGGACCACGGCTACAAAAACGAACGTTGTGGTCTCTGCTAGGGGACCTTTACAACAAGGCGCATTCAGAACTGTTCTGAGGGAAACCCAAGACATTTCCACTCCAACCTCCTGGGAACTAAGAAGATTTTCTAAGGCGAGTTTGTGAGGTATTGTGAGAGACACATTTGAACTCACTGACCTGAGAGCAGAAAAAATTGCTCCAGCTTACCCAACATTTTGATACTGGTCGGGTTGCAGCATTTTAAATTCTCATTTCTAACTGGCTACTGGGATTTTATTTGGCTTCTTCCTACATGGAAGCCTCTAATGCATCAGAATTACGTGGACAGTGCTTAGGCGAAACTGAGCTTCCTCATCCACAATTTTGTAACCTATGAAATTACCCCAAGTTGAGCTTTTATCCACGTGTGGGACGGCGTGGCACCCTTTCGGACCACATGCTGTCTTCGTTTTCCTGCCTACGAAATTTCTTTTCTAGATACCCAGTGTTGCTCTATAGAGCGTCCCTAAGTATAATGGATCGCAGTCAAATACAGTTGAATATTGTTGCGCTTTCCTTGAGTTCCTTAATTTTTCTGAGTTTATTTTTCGCTCGCTCAAATCGCCTCTGTCTCACGCGCCCAAGGAAGCTGAACGCTCTATCGTCAAGGCATCGAGGTTAATCTCAATATGAGCCTTTTCTCCACCGTAACCAATTTTTAGAGCTGATGCCCTAAATCCAGGCGATCAACGCCCTCCAACGCTGCCTTTTTTGTTCACGTTTTTTGACCCACGAAATCACCCCATGGAACGAACTGTAACACCTTCGCGTCAATCTAATTTCCACCACGGTGTATGCCATCACAAACCAGAATATTCAGTATCTGAGTTTGGGTTTGATGTCATGGAGACACTTCCACACCCGTTGAGAGCACTTATGTATTCTACAAATGCATGGCTCATTCTATACTTGACTAACATTAAGGTAAAACGGGAAGCCCATCTGGGATGCTCATTATGTGGGTTACTTGCGTCTGATCAAGCTCAGTTTTTAAAACTAAAATGAACCTTTCGAATGAATCTCTTCAGTTCTGGGTTGTTGCACAAGCTTGTCACTGTGATCGGCTAGAAAACGGTCCTTTCTCCATGTCTTCGGTTGATCTGAACAAAAACAGGTAAGATCAGTTGGGCAACGTCATTCTGTCCTCAGACACGAAGAGCAAGACATCCTATTCAATATCTATTTATCTAGTAAAGGATAGAAAATTTAACAATATA